ATAATTCTTATATATTCATAAGAAACTACTGAACATCTAAATGTAAGATATCAGAAGTGCATTTAATCTAACCTTCATCAGCTATGGGTGAGATATTATTTAAGAGATATTTTGATGGTTGCCATCATTTAAACTCTTCATATAATATTGCAAGAATCTAAGTTTAAATTACAGTAATATTTAGTTGAATGTGTTTTAGTATGGAAGGTTTCTGTTTAAAGTTATATCCATGGTAATGTCATAAGGCAATATCAGAAAGTAAACCAAGGCCACAGTGCTCAAGAGATTTGTTATTGATTGCGCTGATGGAGATTTCAGTGAAAAATATTTTAAATTTAAAACAAACAGTATTAAATAAATACATTTTAATATTCAGTATTCAATTATTTTAATGTACAATATTTTTGATTTAAAAAAATGAAACCACAGTTAATACTAATTCCTATCAGTAGGTGGCAGCAGTGAGCTGTGACGCGCCTTCTCCTCCAATAGAAACAGAGAAAGAATCTTCTCACCAGTGCTATGCTCGGTTAGCATTGACACCCGATTTATCGGCCTCTGTTGATTTACTAAGTATATCAGCATTCGGTGTATTCGATTCTATAACACCTGTTATCACGCAAGGGAGTGTACTACAGATAATCGTGTCAAACGTAAGTAATGTGCTAACATAGCTTTGCTAGCATTTCTTGGGCCAGCAGCTGAGTGTGTAAACACCACACACGAAACTTTTCGCCACGTACATTTAATATTGACTCGTCATTTGTCGTTTATTAATAACTTTATTCCACAGCTCATCTGACTTTCATGTGTAATCAGTATTTAAGGATGATAGAAATATTTAGACTTTGTATCAGTGTTTCCCCCCCCTATACTATTGTGAATGTAGTATTTTATTCAACGATGATATATATACATAACACGTGTGTGTGAGCAAAAAAGCAAAAAAAAAAAAAACTTCTCACTTTCAACTGCTTTTATTTCCAGAAAATTTCTTAACGTTTAAATATTTATTTTAAAATATAAAGTTACAACTGAGACAAACTGAAAACAGGCATTTGACGAACAGAAACGGAATAACGAGTCCTTGAACAAAACGAGGTTCAATATCAAAAGTTGCAGTGAATATCTCGTGTGTTCTCCAGCTGTTTAAGTACTACATCTCATCCTCATGTACTGCACCAGATTTGCCAGTTTTTGCTGCGAGCTGTTATTTCGCTCTTCCACCAAGGCACTTGCAAGTTCTCAAACAGGTCTGGGGGGGACACATGGTTACAGGTGTTTTGCCACTGCAAGGACGGTGTCTTAGGCGTCTTACATTACAGACATAGCAGTTTATTGCTCTGGCCACGTCTGCAGTCCTCATGTTCACACAGGTGATCAGGAAACCTACTCACCTTGTTTTTCAGTCAGTAGAAAAGTCTCTTTCTTTTATAAGTTATTATAACTGGGACCTTAATTGTCTGCCGCCTGTAAATCGTAAGTGTCTTAAGGACTGTTTCACAGGTGCATGTGAAATAATTTTTCATGGTTCATTTAACAAGCATGAAAAATATTGTTTAAACCCTTTCCAATAAAGATCTGTAAAGCTTATTATATTTCGTTTTTTTTTTTTTTTTTTTTTTTTGCCGTTTTTGCATTTTTCTATGACAGGACAGTATGGATATGACAGGAAGTGAGTGGGAGAGGAACGGGAAAGGTCCACGAGGCGGGATTCGATCTCGGGACACCCGAAGCGCAACTGCTATCGGCGCCGACAGCTTGTTATATTTAAAATACATTATGCTGAAAAAGCATAGTCACAGACAAGGTTTAAGCCTAGTCCCAGACTAAAACGTAAGTCTGAGCTGTTTCAACTGAAAGAAACTTGCACTGATTGGTCTTAAAATTTGTCAGTGCCCTTGTTTTGTCTCAAGATGAACAACAGTAATGTTTTTTCTAAGGCATGTGTATAAAAATTACTTAAATGTCCTAATTGAACTATGGCCTGATCCTGGCTTAGTCTAAGCCCAGTTTGTGAAACCAGGCCATATTGTTTAAACTGTGTAGGCAGAGTCTCTTTGAGCTCATCTCTCAGCCTTGAATAAATGCAGGTAAAACCTGAGTTTATGATAATCCAGCTGCTGATGGATCTGTCTTTTGGACAGATTTCTTGTTTGGTTAGAGATTGTAAATCCCCTGCTGGTTGGTTAAAAGCTATAAATGCTTCCTGGTAGGAAACCGGTATTATATTGCAATTTGCACATGATCACTCATTCATTCAGTGCTGTTGTACTGAGCTGCGATCAGGTGGCTTTGGTCATGTGCTTGTCTCTGATTCTGCCAGTAGATGGCAGTATTTTCCTTTGTTATGATGGGCCGAGTGTCTTCTGACAAGGATGTGCCTCAGTTTTAGATGCTTGTCTGTATTATTGTGAATTATCGCAGTATCAGTGATACAGCTTCAGGAATAGACTGCATGCAGTAGCTCTGTCTGTATGTTTTGGCTCATCTCTCACCTCTGGTTGAAGCTCTTGTTCTGATCAGCGTGTTGTAAGTGTGTCTTTATGTGCAATTCTTCCTTGCTCGCCCTTTTCATGGGTATGCATTGTTCAAAACTCACACTGTTAGGAAACAGTAATGTGCTGTTACTTGTAGATCTAAATAAAGGACCACTGACACTGATATGGCATAGATATTCAGATAAATATTTAGTCTACACTATCAAAAGAAGAAAAAAATAAGACGTCTTGGGAAGATCTGGTGCAGCGGCTTTACAAATGTCTTATAAGCTTCCTTATAAGCGATGATTTCATGCAGCTGTTGCATTATAAATAACTTCCCTGTGCAGATCATGTAAGATATATCACTGTCATTGTGACACATAGATTCTGCTTTAGGATGTAACAGTTGAAATACAAACAGACACAGATCCTTGCCCACCACACCTAAGGTTAATGCTCCGCACACAACACACCTGTTGCTGAACCTGCTCCTTCACTCTGAGCGCGGAGGTCACAGGTTAAGAATACGTGGCTCTTTTTTAGAGCACAATGACAGATGACAGATTTCTTTGTATGGTTGATGTTGCAAAAGCATAGACATTACTTGCCTTTGTCAACAAGTCAGAATATTATATTAATAAATTAGTTTTATGTAAATACAAAAACATACATTATATGCACATGGGTCAAAGACGTTAAGATGTCCGCATCAAAAGAAATGTACAAAAGTGATTATATGTCCATAGAAAGCACATTAAATGTAAGTAAAGTGTCTACTTATAAGGTTTCAAATAAGTTTTTGGAGAATAAAATGTTAAATTTTGGTTGAAATAATGTTACATTGTCATTCAGTGTAACACAATATTTATGTAAAAATTCAAACAACATGCTTATTCTGACGTGTACACTTTTAATATGTCATAAATTGATTTTTGTTGTAAATATGGCTGACAAGAATGTTACACTGAATTACATTTTAGTGGGTGTCTTATGTAAATCAGGGAAAAATGTATGATGTTTATTTTTTGCTCGGAAAAACAAAATTGCAATTAAATTAAACAGAAAACTTTTTAAATGTTTTGGGGGAAAACAACAACAATTTAAAGCAGTATTACACTTATTGTTTTTATGCTTAAACCCTTTTTCGTCTTTGACTCGCATATTAATATATTTTACATAATTATTAACATGATTACTGTAATAAATATTATAATAAAAAAAATAATACTAATTAATATTTTCAGACCTGTCTTGGGTCAGAAATATCACTGAAAATATACTTTAAAAAATTCCTAATTTTTAAAAATGTTTGATACTGTATAATTTAATCTAGTTAATCATTCCGTTTGTTTGTTTTTTAGTGGAAAATGTATTTCAGTTACTTAAAAAAATGCTTCTGAAAAAATGCTTCAAGGGCAAAAATATCACCATTTATTGATATTTGGTTGATGGTGAATTGTTTCATTATGACGTAATTAAATGAAAAGAATCATTTATGATAAAATAAACTGGCTATACTTTGAAAATATGAATTGTTGTCAAAAAAGTTGTTGTTAATTACCTTTTATGTCATTGCATATCAGCATAGTTTTGTCAGCAAGTTAGAATATTAGGTTTATTATAGTAATACAAAAACATACAGTAAATGCGTTAATAAATTGTACATTTATATTTATTTCTGTACTTATTATAATTAACAAACATTAATTCATATATTTTAGACCTGTCTTGAGTAAAAAATACCACTGAAAAAAAAACAACTAAAAGTTGCTCTTTTTATTTGTAATGACTGATACTGTATATTTTAATTAGAGCCCGACCGATATATTGTTTTGCCGATATTATCGGCCGATGATTTTACTATGGTAAAATAAATATTCAAACTACGTGTGTTACAACTAACCCCCGTTACTTTGTGCATCGCGCTCCCCTATATTATATTATGTCACACTTCACACTTCTCTAGTAAGTTTCGTCTGTGTGTCCAAACTTTTGACTGGTACTGTACTATAATATACACAAAGAATATCGGCCGATATATCGGTATCTGCCTTTTTTTTTACCCCCTAATATTGGTATCGGTATCGGCCGGGGCTCTAATTTTAATATAGATAATCATTCTGATTTATTAAGGAAATTATGGAAAATTTATTTCAATTATTTGATTAAAATATTTTATATAAAAAGCTGACAACTAATGTGTTTTTGGCTAGTTAGAAAAAAAAATCAAGCTTAAAATGCCTGGGAAAATAAGTTTCAAGGTGTAATTTAGCTACAGAATGTGCTATATCAGAATTGTGAAGGTATTTAATGTTGAAAGTGTGTTGTGCAATTATAGTAATGTGATAGAATGTACAAAGGATGTACACATGATTCTGATTCATCTGCTAAAAGGAAGTAAGATGTTGAAAGAAGGAGGTTTCATTGTACACAAATGCTTGCCAACTGTTGTGTGTATGTAGGTTTGCCCCTCTCCTACCTTAAAACACTTAAAACTTTAAACTCCTTCCTGGTGTGGAGAGGATGCAGGTGGCGGAGACACAACCGGCTCGCATCTCTACTAGACAGCCAATCAGTGCGCAAGAGCTGTTCTGACCCCGCCCCCTGGGCCAGTCCTGCCAGAGTTGCTTTGTGTGAAGCATGCAGGAGGCTGCTGTCCTCCTCCCTTTTGCTTTAATGGCTGTCAAGAGACGCCGAATAGAGGGAGAGCAGCTAGAAAGGGGCTCCGTTTGATTCAGAAATCAGCGGAAAAGAAAACACTGCACACACCATGATGCCAGGACATGCTAGAAACCCACACGTGAGTCAGATGCTATTTTGTCATTCGCTTTTCCTCATCCTGCCTCCTTCCATCCCTCTCCTTCCCCCGTTTGTAATGTTTAGGGTGCAGCTAGAGTCTTGTGATGCCTTTTAGCTGGGATGATGAGTGTGTGAGTTGGAAACATGGTGGATTTCTCAGTATCTTGATGTGGACACTTCAGAATGGTATTAGCAGCATGACTTCTGGTTTTTATTTTTATGTGGACAGAAACACAGAGGCTGGTGGGACAGATGGGCAATGCCCTCTAGTACATCCCTCTAGTACATGGTAGGACAACTGTGAGAGTGATTTCCCAGAAGGCCTAGCACTGCCTTAAACTATGCCATATGCCGTTGTAACCTCATTTTTGGTGGAAGCGTGGGAGTTGGCCCTGAAGATGTTCTGTAAACAGCTCTTGCTAAAAGAGCACAAACACTGTTCTGTCTGAGACCTTGTTCATGTCAAACCATGAGAGTAAAATCACGTGTGAGTGAATCTGTGAGTAGTCTTGAGTAAAAGATCTCACATGCATGTTTAAATAATGTCAGGTTTAGATTACAGCACATTTACACTACCCTTGAAAGTTTGTTGCCTGTAAGATTACAAAAAAAAATATATTAATACTTTTATTCCGCAAGGCCATGATCATAGGTGACAGTAGACACGTTTACAACTGTTACAAAAGATTTTTGTTTCAACTAAATGTTCTTTTTAACTTTCTATTCATCAACGAATCCTGAAAAAATATATCACGGCTTCCACAAAACATATTAGCAGCACAACTGTTTTCAGCATTAATAATAAGAAATATCTGCTCAAAATGAAGTAATGGCTGCTGAAAATTCTGCTTTGCCATCACATTTACAATTACATTTACAAAACATATTCAAATAGAAAACAGTTAAATTATTTTGTAATAACATTTAATAATATTGCTGTTTTTTTTATCATGAAATGCAGCCTTGGTGAGCATAAGGGACTTATTATTAAAATATGAAAAAATCTTACGACCTTAAACTTTTAAAAGGCCAACATGGGAAAAGACATGGAAAATGTTGTACATTCACAAAATATATTGATTCAGGTATATTTGTGTATTCAGGCCTGAATTTTTTGCTGAATAGAATACTTGTCTTAATTTTTATTTTATTTTTTTTAATTGAAAATGATATATATGTTTTTCGAAAACATATGAAGCCAACATGAACACAAATATTGCATTTGTACATATCTAAGAATATGAAATCTCTTGGATATCTGGTGCAACTGGTTTGTCATGGCATTCAGTTCTGACAATTGACATTTGACATGACCCGATTGTCCTGTCATCTTTGGCTTTGTGACAGAAGACGACTCAAACCACAAACTTGAACTTATTTGCATTGGCCCCAAGACACACCCTTGTGGCATTCCTCTGTGTTTGAACTAGTTTTGAGTATGAATGGTTGAAAGGCTCTAGCTGTATCTCTTCTAATAATAATATCTTCTGTTGATGTTGTACTGAATCATATTACATCGAGACAGTATGCTCAACTTAAATCAAATCAGATTTATTTTCCGCAACTATTTGCTTCACCCCTACAATTATATTCCTGCTGGATGACACAATACGTTTTTTTTTTGTTTGTCTTCACTAAATCTCTTTACTCTGTGAAATCTTTACATAAAAATAATGTTTATATTGTAAGTAATATTTCAAGATGAATATTTACTGGACTGAAGCAACTTAAGTTTACTTGATTATACATTTTTATAATTTTTAGAAAAATAATGTTAAAATGTAAGTATCATAAAATATGATACAGCAGGCTTTTGAGAAATGTTGTAGTTAGGGATGTAACGATTACCGGTTTGATGATAAATCGTGATAAAATACCCCACGGTTAGTATTACCGTTTCATATTTTAATTATCACTATAACCGTATTCGATTACCACGATTTGAACAACTGAGGATAAATAAATACTGTACTGCACAGGGCTCCAGAGTGCGACCAAATGGGCACATTTTGCGATAATTTTTTCTGCCCGTACGACTAAATTTTGTGAGCGGTCGCACTGGCGCGACCACTACATTGTTTAACTCATAAGCGCTGCATTTCTGTTGCATATGAGAAACATCAAAAGGCAAACGAAACTGAAAGCATAACGAAACCGCGCTACTCGTTTGAGCTGCGCAGCGCTTATAGAGTGTAGAGCATGGTTTATACTCGCCGCATCAGCAGGAGCGCGAAGGTGCGCGCAGCAAAAATGACGCGAATATTGAGGAAACGATGGATGGTTTTCATGCTGATGTAAGGTAAAAGACCGCTTCTTAAACCAAAGGTGAACATGCTGGTATTCTTGTGGGAGGAACAAAAACATGCAAGCACTGTCACCGACAGCAAGTTTAGTTTTACTTTTCTTTTTGTTTTCATTTTGAAAAGCTTGTTATCTTTGCCGTTTACCTCACGTTATGCTATGGAGGCTCTCTTTTTTATTTATTTGATTCCTCAGTGTTTGCTAAACGTTCTGTAATTTATTAGTCGGTATATAATACAGCATGGGGTGTATGCCATGCCTCATCTTATATCGTGATGAGAAATTTTCATACCGTTACATCCCTAGTTGTAGTGCATTATATGTTTTGCCACCATAATAAAAACTACAGAGCTTTGATCATGAAATTATATAGAGTGACAACTTATTACAAAGTTTGTGCAAGTAATCTGCTGTACTGTTATAAAAATCTCATTGACGTACATTATCAGAATTTCATCTTCTGTTTTGGCCATATAAATATCAGCAACTGAACCAAACTTTTGCTCAGTTTATGCCTTCTGCATATAACTTTTTTTTTTTTACTTTTTTTTTTAAATATTTTGTCTAAAGGCTCAATAAACAGTTCAATTTTCCAATTAGATTTTTTTTTCTGACTATTAGCCTATTTCATGTGTCAGGATTTAGAGGGTTAAATATAGTTTGACTTTAGCTGGTTTGGTTATTTCCCTATAATGCAGTGGGACTTTGGCACTTATAAGCATAGCCCATTCCATGTACTTTGCTCCTGCTACTTTCCAGTTGTTTTGTTTACTTTATGCTTGTAAAACAGATTTAAAGTCTTTAAAATGGTCAGTGTCCAAATACAAGGTACAAACGTTTGAAGGTGTCCTCTGGCATTGAAAGAGCGTTTAGCAGTGTGTGCTGAAGGGCAGTAAAGGATTGTGTAGTCAGGTGGCTTTCGTAATGGATTCATAGTTTTATATTCCACTATGAAGTGACATAGCAATATATACCTCATTTCTTTCCTTATTCTGTTTTCATGCCTCAGAGTGTTCAGGTCAGGAATACTCATGTAAGTATGATCCCTCTCAAATTTGGCAACCCCTGGCATGAAAGGCTTGCTCTGATTTACTGTAATTCTATTTTCATTCTGTTTTCTCTTTTATTTAAACATACACTATTGTTCGAAAGGTTGGGATTAGTAAGATTTTGATATTTTCTCTTATGCTCACCAAGGCTGCATTTATTTGATCAAAAATACAGTAAAAACTGTAATATTGTTCTGTATTATTTTTCTATTCTAATATATTTAAAGCTGAATTTTTTGCAGCCATTACATTTACATTTAGACATTTAGCAGACGCTTTTATCCAAAGCGACTTACAATTGGGGGATACATAAAGCGATTCTTCTTAAAAGAGGCAAACAGATACAGGAAGTGCTTGTAATAGCAAGTTTTTAGACATTGTTCAAATAAGTACACGCTAGAAAGAGAAGGAATAGATAAAGAGAGAATTTTTTTTAAATTTTTTTTGGGAGTCATTACTCCACTCTTCAGTGTCACATGATCCTCCAGAATCCATTCTAATATGCTGATTTGGTGCTCAAGAATCGTTTCTTATTACAGTTGTGTTGCTCAATATAATTTTGCGAAATGTGATAGATTTTTTTTTTGGCAGGATTTTTTGAATAGAAAGTTCAGAAGAACAGCATTGTTTTGAAATAGAAACCTTTTTAACATTATAAATGTCTTTACTGTCAATTTTGATCAATTTATTGCATCTTTGCCGAATAAAAGTATTAACTTCTTTAAAAAAAAAAAAAAAAAAAATATATACATTTTACCAACCCCAAATTTTTTAATGGTAGTGTATATGAAACAGATGAAGTTCCAATCTGGGATGCTGATTTGTCAATACAGGGTTCAAGTTGCACTATTTAACTTTAGTTTACATGTCAGGGACTATGTCACCTAGTGGAAGGATGGCACTTAATGAATTTGCTTTTAATGATTTGCTTATGTAGTAATCACTTTGCAAAAGCAATAAGGCTCTCCGCTACATGTCATGCATTTAGCTGTGACTGAATTTGCATTTTTATTATTCTTTAATTTCCAGAATACTGTATAGATTTGTAATCATGTTCCTCATTTAGGAGCTTTACTATCTGAGGACCCAGCAAGCACAGGAGAAGATGGAGCGATCGGAGAAGAGGTTGAAGCAACGATTACGCGTGTGCGTGGCCACCTGTAACAGAGCGGACTACTCTAAACTCGCACCCATCATGTTCGGCATCAAGTCTCAGCCTGAAATTTTTGACCTGGAGGTGGTGGTGCTGGGGTCACATCTCATTGACGATTACGGGTAAGACTGCTCAAATTTTTTAAGTTGTTAAATTGATCTACATTAAATTGTTGAAGGGATATTGCATATCAGAACAGCTGACAAACATAACTAAATAAATTAGTTTTGTCATTCCAAACCTGAAATGCTTTTGTTCCTCCTTTGGAACGCAAAAGTCGGTGTGCATTGAAAGTCGGTGTAGTCCAAAGTTGTTTTGGTCCCCACTGGTTTTAATTGTACAGACAAAAACAGTTGAGAGATTCTTCAAAATCTTTTTGTGTGTGTTTCATGGATGAAAGAAAACCCTACAGGTTTGAAATGATGACATTGACTGTAACTTAGGTGATAATGTCTCATAGCAGTGATGCAAATAACAAAATAAGCCATAGATCTTCATCTGGGCTTGAGAGCTTCAGAAAATGAATCAGCAAAATTTCTCACTGTTGCCATGGAAATGTTGGAATGCAGCTCTTGATGGTGGGAGTTTGGCTCTCACAGTGGGCTGCTGATGGTGGCTAGAAGCCATTGTCTTTTATCAATGAAGCCAAACCAGCCTTGACTCCTCTTTGAGTCATGTAAACTTGACATTACTTACTGGGAGCAAAGACTTTTTTTTTTCAAAGCAAATGGACAACATACTGTCTCTACACAAATATTCAGACATTGCTTTCTACATCATTTCAGTATTTGATGCTAAATAAATATAAAATCAAAATTTGAAAATTGACGTAAAATACTTGCCATTCTAATCGTAACATACAGCGAAGATGCCATTATAATATTTGCATGCTAAATCCCAGTTGATATTCTTTCTTGAATTTATTTGCATACTGAATTGTGATGGATCTTTCTAACAGCTTTTAGAAGCTATTGCTCTTTGATGCATATTAGGGCTGCACCAACGAATCGCAAAAATCAATAATAATCATTACTAAAAATAATTCACAACAAATTTAGTAATTGATTAATCTGGAAACCAGCGATGGACGCAGAGTGAGCTGCAGCGGGTAAAGTGCTAAGTTGTCCTAAACATGAGAATGTGTCATATAAGTGCTTCAATCAATATTATTGAGCAAAACAAAAAATTTACAAATGTATCCTTGTCTGTAAAATTTCGAAAGTCCCATGAGTATTTAAATTTTGCATAAAGGCTCGTCCTGTCAGCAAGCGAGTCTCCGTTAAACTTCACAGACTTCAGTACACGAGTGTCAGCACGAGTATGTGCGTCAAACGGACAGTGCGTAAATAGAATAGAAATGCAATAATTGTCACTACTAAAATATTTCTTGTTTGACATTAAATGTACGTTTAAAATTCTACATGTAATATGAATAATTTTATTTTTTCTTTTATCATCAATTTTAATTTAGCGATTTTAACATATGCTTTCAAATACTAAGTGATCCGTTTAAATTTTAACCCCACTTTTTGCTCATACAGTAATGTTTAACTGCACTTAGCCTACATAGAGAAAACAATTGATTCTCTCTCCAGCGATTCTGGAATGTCTGAGCTTAGTTTTTTCCTGCATATGCGCAATGGAGACAGCAGTTTTCTGCTTTATTTAAATTATTGGAAGTTTTAAGTTATGGAAGTAAATTCATTATTTATCATTACAAATACTTGCTTTGAAAGTACCAAGTAGTCACACAGTAAGAAAAAAGATTTTATCATCACATTGCAGCCCTGTGAATCATAATAGAATCAAATTGTAAAAAAAAAAGTAAACTATATTTAAATAATATTAGATTATACATTAATTATATTTGTTTTCATTGCCTTCATATTGCACAAATTGCATTGTTTGGAGGACAGCGTTGGACAGGATGGGGAATAACAATTTTGTTAAAGATGGATTAAAATTAATTTATTAAAGGGGTCATATGATGATGCTAAAAAGAACATTATTTTGTGTATTTGGTGTAATGAAATTTTTTATTTCTTAAAAATAATTTTTTAGAAATAATCATCAGATTAATTATCAAGATAATCATTAGCTGCAGCCCTAAGTCATATTTAATGATTCAGTGTTTCCCACAGACTTACACTCTGTGGGGCACTTCCCCCAGGGGAAATATAGGCAATATATAAAACAGCAGACGCACTGATTGAAAATGCACATTCATTCTCTGCCAGCAGGAGGCGCTTTAGGAGCGAAATAGCGGTTTCCCCGGTAACAGCTGTAATAAAACAGTGCTCCGCTCATAAACGCTACTTTATCGGGCATTATAAGAAAGATTAAATGAAAATGACATCGAAACTTTTCTAAAGACAGTCGGTGCCCTTCAAAGGTACATTCATATAAAAACACCCGCGCCGCGTTTTGATTTTGAAACGTGCAGTGCTCATGTTTATTCAACGAATTCAAAGCATTTTGGAAAATCTATTTGTGGCGGTCAATGTTGATATTGTGGCGGGATGCCACAAATAAATCAATGTATGATTACTTTCTTTCTCTTTCCCAGAAACACGTTCCGTATGATTGAGCAGGATGAGTTTGATATTCGCTCTAAGTTGCACACCATTGTTCGTGGTGAGGATGAAGCTGCTATGGTGGAGTCTGTGGGTCTCGCGCTTGTGAAGCTTCCCGACGTCCTCCAGCGTCTCGCTCCTGACATTCTGCTCGTTCATGGCGACCGTTTCGACGCGCTGGCCTTGGCGACAGCAGCGGCTCTAATGAACATTCGCATTTTGCACCTGGAAGGTGGAGAAGTGAGCGGAACCATTGATGATTCCATTCGTCACTCCATCTCCAAACTGGCACACTACCATGCCGTCTGCACGCGCTCGGCCGAGAGACACCTCATCTCTATGTGCGAAGACCATTCTCACATTTTATTGGCTGGCTGCCCGTCTTACGACAAGCTGCTTTCCGCCCACCAACGAGATGATTATACTGATATCATCAAGACTTGGATTGGTATGTACTATAGATGAATGGGATGAGTTAGCAGTTGCTAGAGATAAACAATGAAGACTATGCTATCAAAACAGTGCAAAATAACTCCTTTTAAGTTTGTTAAAAACTACTAATGCTATCCTTTATGTATATGTGATTTTTTTTTCTAAAACAGGGGATGATGTGAAAGAACAGAACTATATTGTAGCTCTGCAGCATCCTGTTACCACAGACATCCAGAATTCCATTAAGATCTATGAGTTAATGCTGGACGCTCTCATCTCCTTCAACAAGAGAACTCTCATTCTCTTCCCGAATATTGATGCAGGTCAGCTCTTATTTTCTTTCTGTCTGACCTTTCATGTTTTTCTTTTTTCTCAGATTTATCAGCAGTATAAGATAATTTCCAAGGACTCTTAACAACTCTAACAGACAAAACAGTCATGGTTTGTTTTGAGTTTGGTGTTAATGACAGGTAGACACTATATGAGGCAGCAGTCAAAGCAGAGTTGCTGTGTCTTTCGTTGGAATATAACTCCATTCTGTTTACAGAAACACAAGGAGGGGGTGGGTGGCATGACCAAAAATTTATATTAGTATGAGTCATTTTACGGTAGTGGTTACAATTAGAGCCCGACCGATATATCGTTTAGCCGATATTATCAGCCGATATGAGCCTGTCATATCGGCTGATAATACAACAGAACATACAACGCAGATTAAATGCTTCTGAGTTGTGTAATTACTTAGTTTCTCCATTGTTTGTTACTGGACCCAGGTCAGTGTAGTGTAGAGATGCGCGGATGAGCTCAAACTTCACCCGAGTCCTCTGCTTCAAATTATCCGCCCGCCACCCACCCGCACCTATATTTGATCGTCACATTACAATGATTCTAATTCTTTGTTTTGCATGATGATATGATGAATAGATGGTTCATTTTAACAGCAGATTCAGTGACGTAAGAGACTAGAACTGATCTGCGCTTCACGGCAGCGTCTGCGGCGCATTAAAGCCTGTGTTACGGCCACCGGAGCTGATCGCGGCCATTCAGTCAATGTTGGTGTTTGTACTGGACGCACCGCGGCCCAGAACTCATGTTTATCACATCGGTCACATCACATCGCGCAGCGCAGCGCGACAAAATACAATAGAAGTCTATTGTATTTTGTCCCGCTGCTCGTAGAATAGAACCCATTGTAATCAGTGATGTTGTCACTGGATGCAGTAAACTGATGCCTCGTTCTATTTATGAACTTTTGACTGTTACTTTTGACTGTTTTTATACTGTACTATAATATAGCCTACACAAAGAATATAGGCCGATATATCGGTATCGGTCTTTTTTTACTCCCTAATATCGGTATTGGCAAAAAATGCAGACACAATTTAATCATTATTCATATTTTGTATTAGATTTTGTTTTATATTTTCATTTTTATTTTAGTTAAAATACAGACTTCTGTTATTATAATATATTATTCTATTTTACATTTATAACATATAACATATGTATTATATGTTATTTTATTATGTCTGCTTTTTAACAAAATTTTTTGTTGAAGTTCCAGAAAAAGGAACTATATTTTGACCATTGCCATAAAATTGCTTATATGTAAGCAATAAGGTACGAGAGGCCATGCTGTATTGTGAATAAATCACGGCTGAAGGGCGTTGTTAGGCACGACGTGAAGCGGAGGGTGGTTGCTAAGGGTGTTGCGCAGTGATACACAGAACTGTTTGGTGAAGCGGTCATAGCCGTGCTTTATCGTGAATAAAACAGCTGCTGACCAATCAGAATCAAGGAGTGGAACTAACCATTTTATAATATGATATAAATGATAGTATTTATTTATATTTTGAATTAGTTTTAATTGTGTGTTTTTCATATAGTTTTAATTTAAATTTTAATGTAGATTTGAGTAATTCTGTCTTTTGGTTTTTGTCATTTTTATTAATCTTTTTCTATTTAGCTTTAGATTCTAGTTTAAGTTGTAGTAATTGTAGTAATAAACCTGAACTTATTTTATTTTCGTTAGTCGCCAAGAAAACATGTCTAAGGGTGTTTTCACACCTGGCCCGTTGTTTCGGAACCTGGCGCGTTTCCCCCCTTAGCTCGGTTCGTTTGGCCATATGTGAACACGGCATTCGCACTCGGATCCGCGCCAAAACAATCGGTCCGAGATCGCCTGAACGAGGTGTTTTTTTGTTGTTGTTGTTTTATTTCAGCTCAATTTCAGTTAATGATTTTTAATAGCTTTAGTTTTAGTTAACAATAACACTGAATATAATATATCAGAATTGTAGTCTGAATTGAATGTAAACTCGTAAAAAATTTAATTGTGACTCTTTATTAGCCAGATATTTTATTTAATTGTTAAAAAAAAAAAAAACTTTTGCCGGTTGAAACAGTCTTAGGAATTCTTCCCTGAATCTAAATCTCTGAATAAATGCAATGGAAGTGTAGTAAAATTCTGCCCCATTAAAACCATACTGCTCTGTGTTTTGTGTCATGTAGGCAGTAAGGAGATGGTTCGTGTGATGAGGCGGAAGGGAATTGAGCAGCATCCGAACTTCTGTGCGGTGAAGCATGTTCCGTTCGATCAGTTCATCCAGCTGGTGGCACATGCCGGCTGCATGATCGGGAACAGCAGTTGTGGAGTTCGTGAGGCTGGAGCGTTCGGAACACCTGTCATTAACCTGGGGACTCGCCAGACGGGTCGAGAAACAGGTGAAATTAGTCTAGAATATGAATTACTGACCTTTACAGAGGAAATTAGGCACTATGGCAGGATATGATTACCATTGAGTACTCTTTATTGTGTTTGCTATTTTACGTCCAGGATGTACAGTAATTGGATCTTTAAAATCAGCATGGCATATTTATTCTTCTAAACAGCCCAGAGTGTTTAAGTCTTTAGTATGAGCCTTGATAGACCAGTTTTACCAATTCATGTTATTTTAAAAATAGGAGAAAATGTTCTACATGTGCGAGATGCAGACACACATAATAAAATATACCATGCCCTGGAGCTGCAGTTTGGAAAACGCTACCCCTGGTAATTAATTTTTTAATATTTTTTTTTAGATATTATATATTTAATATATACCTGTGGCCAAGTATTTTTTTAAATATATTTTTATCATGTTATTATTAATATTTTGATTTAGAATTTATTTATAGTATTTTCAGTTGTCAGTTTAATTTGATTTAGTTTCAGTAATTTTGTTATATGCTTTATTTCTAGTGAGGTTTTATTTATTTTTCCATTTTAGTTAATAATTAGTACTAATTTAGTTTGCAATTTAGTAGGTTTAATGCTTCAACTTATTTGATTTCTGTTGGTTGTCAGGGCAGCATTTTAAAAAATATATATAATTCAATTAATGTTTAGTAGTTTTCGTTAATAACACTGAATGAAATATAGAATTTAAGCTGATTTATAATTTAAATTTATAACTGAATATAAACTTATTTTAATTGGGTTAGTTGACAAGGCAAGTTAAGTTTTTCATCTAATATTTCTATTTGTTTCATTTCAGCTTTATTTCGATTAGCGAAAACAACATTTCATGGTTTTAGTTAACAATAGCAACACTGGTCTAATTTATCCATAAACTGATATCGAGCAAGCTGATTTATGCTGCATATTTGATTTTATGGGCATCATTAAATTATCATATTATTATTATTATTATTATAGATAAATCCACTCATTTTTGGCCATTTTTAGATAACTCAAATGTAACATAACTGTGAACATGCCCTGTGTGTTCTGTGCTCTGTCCACTAGCTCCAAGATCTACGGTGACGGAAATGCGGTCCAACGCATCTTGAAGTTCATGCAGTTCATTAACCTTTCTGAGCCACTACAGAAAAAGTTCTGTTTCCCAGCAGTGAAGGAGTGCATCTCTCAAGATATCGACCACATTCTGGAGACACAGAGTGCACTTGCTGTTGACCTGGGAGGAACCAACCTGCGTGTCGCCATTGTCTGTATGAAGGTATGCAGAGCAAACCTCTGGAGTCAGGTGTTGAGATCCAATTAATCTTTTAGAAGATGCGGGACATGCTCTAGGTTACAGAATGTCTGTGTGTTTGCCAGATTGTGACGTGTTTTTTTATGCAGCAGGATATGCAGCACTTATGTAAATATTTCATTCATCTGATGCACACAAGTCTGACTGTAAAACAAACAGCAGCAGGTTTGGTCAGAAGGGTTGTGTAATCAGCTCTTTCTTTATGTGTGAATGGTGCAGTTTCCTGGACTGCAGACTGACAGACTCAACATTAAATATGTAATTAGTTTAATTTTCTGTATTTGGCCATGGTGAAGCATTGCTGAATATAGACGCACAATTATTTCAGACTTATGTATTTTGCAAAATTACTACAATCTCAAAATGGCTAAATATCAGCCAATTAATCGTATTGGCTGATATATTGACCTGTTATTTCATAAACATCATACTGGTGCTCAAGCAGTCTAAAATGATAAAGTAAGTTCCATCTATATTTAAATATGTCCTTGAATGCTGCAGTTTGACCAGGTGTTTTATTGGTTTAGGTGTATAACTATCACAAGCTCCTTACTTCCAGTCAGAGTGATGAAGAGGTACCAGTTTAAGACAAATAATCAAATCAACAATATAAAAGGAAAAAAAGGCCAATCTGTGGTAGCAAATAGAGATTTTTTTTCTTTTCTTTTAATTTGCATGCATAAAATGATGTTCAAAAGTATATGGTCTATAAAAGTGTACTCAGCAAGGTTATATTTACTGGTCAAAAATACAGACAAAATGTAATATTGTGAAATAATTCAAAATAACCATTTTTGATTTTAACATGTTTTAAAATGTAATTTATTCCTGTGATGCAAAGCTGAATTTTCAGCAGTGTCACATGATCCTTCTAACAAGCTGATTTGATGCTCAAGAAACCTCGTATTATTTTTTGTAAAACATTTTTTATCATCAAGAAACATTTCTCAATATTATCATTATTAGTTGTGCTGCATAATTTTTGTGATACATTTTTTGGGGGGGATTCTTTGATAAATAAAATCTGCAGTAGAAATCTTTTGTACCATAAATGTCTTTACTGTCACTTTTGATCAATTTAAAACAACCTTGCTGAAAGTATTAATTTGTTTAGAAAAAAAGAGAGAATTTTTGACTGATCCCAATTGTTTTGAATGGTAGTGTATCTTGCGGAACATAATTGGGGTAAGAAATTAAAGGTGATGTAGTTTATTGTGTGATTTTTTTTTCCTGCAGAATTTCATTGTGATGGTTTAATAGCAGGTTGCCTTTGTTGCTTCATATTTGTTTTTTATTTTTTATTTCCTTAGACATGAAGTTAGGCGTAAAAAAATAAATGTATTGATATATATTGAAGATTTCATCTTGTAAATATGTGCTTGTGTTTAAGGGTAAAGTAGTTAATAAATATACCCAGTTGAATCCAAAGACGTTTGAGGAGAGGATAGAACTGATACTGACCATGTGCAAACAGGCCATGGCTGACGCCATTCACCTCAACTGCAGAATCCTGGGTGTCGGTATGTCTGCGTTTGTCCTGAGTCTTTTTCTGTGTGTCTATAAATTCACTCACTCATTCACTGTCTATTTCTTTCAGGTGTGAGCACAGGGGGGCGTGTAAACCCACAAGATGGGATAGTCCTCCACTCCACCAAGCTAATAAATGAGTGGAGTTCGGTGGACATCCGTACACCCATTTCTAGCGCCCTTCATCTTCCTGTGTGGGTCGATAATGATGGCAACTGCGCCGCCCTTGCTGAGAGGAAGTTTGGCCACGGGAAAGGCGTAGAGAACTTTGTCACCATTATCACTGGAACCGGTCCGTTCCTATTATTATGTCCCTTACTTCTAGTTGCTAGGATGGTGGGCTTTCCCTTTGTTTGATAATGCAAAGAGTAAGACCTGGCAGAGAGTGGAATTAAAGGGTTAGTTCACCCAAATATGAAAATTAGCCCATAAATAACTCGCCCTCAAGTCATCCTAAGTGTATATGACTTTCTTCTTTCAGATGAATCCAGTCGGAGTTATATTAAAAATTGTCTTTGATCTTTCAAGCTGTTTAATGCCACTCAGCGGGTGTTGCATGCATCAGTCCAAAAGAAGTTAAATAAAAAGCGCCCATCCATTTAAAAAAAAGTGTCTCTCACGCCCCCGGGGGGTGAACAAAGGCCTCCTGCAGCGAATCGATGTTTTTGTAAGAAAAATATCCATATTCAATACGTAATAATTACTTTAATGTAGCTTGCGCCAACAGTTGTACACGGAAGCAGTTCCGGGCTGATGACGGAATTAACCCTTTAAAGTTGTCACACTGGTTACTGTTTTTACCGTTTTTGACTTTTGCCTACCCCTTTTCATAGAAGGGTAAACAGTACTATTTATGCCTGATTTTTTTTCCCATGTGAAAAGATAACAGCTGAACTCTCTTTGTTTAAATGACATATTATATAAATTATATTATATTATATACTATATTAATGTTTTTTAATATATATACTCCACCATTTAAATGTTTGGGGTCAGCAAGATTTTTTATTTTTTTTGGAAAAATGCATACTTTTATTGAGCAAGGATGCATTAGATTGATCAAAAGTGACAATAAATAAACTTATAATGCTACAAAAAAGTTATATTTCAAATAAATGCTGTTTAAAAGCTTTCTATTAATCAAAGAATCCTGAAAAAAAATTTATCACAATTTCCACAAAAATATTAAACAATGCAACAGTTTTCAATATTCATAATAAGCTATATTTCTTGAGCATCAAATCAGCATATTAGAATAATTTCTGAAGGATCATGTGACACTGAAGACTGGAGTAATGATGGTGAAAATTCAGCTTTTCCATCACAGGAATACATTATATTTTTTCAATAAATTATAATAGAAAACATATTAAATTTTAATAAAATTAAATTGTATTTTACGCTATTACTGTTTTTTTTCTGTTATTGATCAAATAAATGCAGCCTGGGGAAGAGACTTCTTTCAAAAACATTAAAAAAAAGTTTTTATCTACCTCAACGTTTTGAACAGTTGTGTATATTTTTAAGTTACTTTTATGCTTAGATTTATATAGATTAGATTTTTTCCATCTCAGTTATGAACTTTTATAAAAGACATCTAAACCATTATTTTGAATTACACGCAAATATTTTGACTGTATCCTATTAATTATATTTATAGTAAGTCATGGGGACAAACATGGCACACTAATTACGTCTTTTTCTGAGAGTGAACTAGGGAACATTGTGAAATAATAATGGTTTTCTCTTTAATTGATACAGGTGTGTGTACAGTATATGAGTATTAGAAATACATGATCAAACAGATTTCTAATGCTGTGTACCTGCATAAAGTCTAAAACTGATATAATTGTTACTTATGTTTGACTTCTGTGATTCTGCCTGTAATTACCTTTGCCTTATGTTTATATGTGCAGGAATTGGAGGTGGTATAATCCAGCATAATGAACTGATCCATGGCAGCACATTTTGTGCGGCAGAATTGGGACACATTGTGGTCTCATTGGAAGGACCAGAGTGCATGTGTGGCAGCCACGGCTGCATAGAGGCCTACTCGTCAGGTAAATTACTAAAACTGATTTACTGCTGTTAACCTGACATTGTCATTATTATTATTTTTTTGTATCAAAATAAAAATGTATTTAAATACTATTCTGTTCTGACCAATTGCGTAGCTTGAGCAAAGGCTTAACAGATAGCGTACACTTTCCGAAAAGAACTCCAGAAAGCAGTCTTCATAACTTTAGTGACTTTACTGGTGATTGTTCTTCTCAATTCTTTTATTTTAAAACTACAAACAAGAAAAAATATGTATGAACATTATGTTCACATTTACATACACATCCAGCTTAACATTACAGTTCGATTTTGTACATAGTTCCTTTTTTAACGTTATTTAAAGTAATGTACATGTCAAGAAATCATATTCAAATGAGATTATGTACAAACAGAAGATAAATTAGCAATACGCTAAAACAAAGTACGCTACCAATAACGCGAATCATGTCTGTTTATAACAAAATATAACAATAATCCCGATCTACACTTTACTTTAGTCTACACAACACTTAAAAGCACTATTTAGTATAAAATGTAGCACTTACAGACATATATTTCCAAGATTTAAACGATGGAATCAATAACCCATAGGAACTGCATGCACGTTCTTCTTGACTGCGTTCCCTGAGAAACCGAAAGTAAACGGCAAAATAAAGTGTAGTACCTTAAATGTCCTGTAGGAGGCGGAAAAGAAACAGAACATAAGAAACAGCACACTGACAGCAAAACTGCTGTAAGTACTTAGTGAAAATCAGCCGTAGTGTCCAGTCTGTTGTCTGCTGGATGCACCTGGTCGTGAGGTGAGATGAAGCATGCTGAGGCTGAAGGTGAGGGTACATAACCAGAGTGTGTCACAGGAAGTGTTCCCTCGAAAGAGGCCAAGCTGGGCCCCGAGGCACGAACAACTCCAGTTCCCATTAATGCCAGTGCTAATGTCAGCGAAGCCCCTAAGGTAGTGAACCGCCAGCAAAGTAAGCAAGGATTACAGGAGCAAGTGACTTTACTCTACTGTAAACAATCCTGTCGTGCTCCCGTAAAACACACACACATAACAACAGAAAGAGACACTACCGTAGGGTTCACAGGGTTTCTGCAGGATTTTTAAGCTCAAATTTAAGACCTTTTTAAGACCTTCACAAATAAAATTAATACCATATGAGTGGGTTAGGGCAATGTCTATAGTACCATATTAAACTGTAAAATTACAGTAAAAAGCATTACTTACAGTTCACATACAAGTTTTCACAAAAACAAAAAGTTTTATAAAATGATAAACTTTACATTTCAGCCTTTAAACCATTTTTAAGAAAATGGATGAGTCAAAAGTATTAATTACTAGATTAATTTAAACAATTATTAACAATAAATTATTATATCAATTAAATAACAAATTAGGG